TAATTATAACATTATAATGAGAGTGAAATTAGCCGTGCATAACATGTTTTCGGCATTTCTCTTCGAAAAATGACTTGTTTAAAGGAATAAAACGTCTGATTTGTAAACTTTCTCTTTTTTCTCCGGAATAGGCTATTTAAAAAATGATTTATCTACTCTGTATGTAGAACATTTTGTGAAAATATGAGAAGTGGCAATTCTTACCTTTTATACCTTTAGTTTCATTGATAAAAAATAATATGGACTCGTCCAGTGTCCAGTTTGAAGGTCAATTAAGTTACTGTACACATTCATGCATGTTCTGATTTAATCAATATACGTGTATGAAAAAAAATAAACAGTTTGTAGGTAAACTATTAGTAACTTAATCCAATCAAATTGCGTATGAGACAATAACAATGACCGGTCCACATCATAATAAGTAATATATAAATAACACATAGCTGAGAGGGTGATAGAGCAGATTGTTACCCCGAGAAAACATTGTCAACTGAGGCGAAGCCAAGGTTGACAATGTCTTTTCGAGGGGTAACAATCTGCTCTATCACCCTCTCAGATATGTGTTATTTAATTTAATACACTGAATGTTCTGTTATGACTGTCTATTAAATTTCAAATTCAAAGTAATAAACTATGTCGTCTTGTATATAACAATCAACCGTGTTTATTAAAGCGCACACTTGAGCAAACGTCTCCGTGAAGGGTAATAGAGTATTTGTCATGGGATAGAGTAAATTGTCTCCCTCGTATTTACCAATCAAAATCTGGCATTTTGACATGAAGTATAATAATAGGGATAAACTGGGTAGGGAGAAAATGACAGATATTTTAAGTTCATGTTTTTTTCAAAAACGACCAAAACTCTTGCCATAATTTCAGAAACGTGTCGTTCTGTATTGGTATAGTTTTCGGATCTTTCATTTGCGTATTTAAGGCAATAGAAAGTTTGGACTTCAAAAGTCTACATAATGTTTGACTTTATACAGAAAATTCACCCTTTTAAAACATTTAATGTTTCACAAATTATACATGGATACACAGTGATATCATTTCTCAAAACACTGTTCTGATTGGTATATTTATACTGTCATAACGTGCGTTGAAATGAACTGTGGTATAGCAAACATCGAATTCCCTCACAAAATGTTATCACACTCTACAGACGGTTTTTGTTATTTGAATCCTTCATCAACTAATTCAGATGTTCTGTTCACAGACGATTTTAAATTCCACATGATTTTGAAACCTTATTGTTTTTTTAAGCAGTGGTAAATGCATGTTATTTTATCTTGAAGGATGTTTTGCTCCTCCGTTTAAAAAAACAAGCTTTTAAAGAGACTGTTATAAGTTGTGATAGTATATATTAAATAACGGAACTTAAAAAGCAGACAAAAAAGAATGGTCAGCGTCCGTGTTTTTTTTTATAGATATAATCAATTATTGAAAATTTGGCGAGGAGCGATTCTCTCTAGATATTTCGTACATTCAACATTGGCACTTTTTTTTCTTTCAAAAACTATGAAAAAATACCAAAACGGCTTTTAAAACTATATGTAATAAAATTATGAAAAGAAAAGTAGTAGTTAGCGGTCAAATTTTTTATTGGCACTACATCGATAAAACTAGAAGATTCCGAAAATCTGACAAAACTTCAAAAACAAGTATAGCGACATCTTTAAAGTTACACACTAAATCGTTTTTTTTCAAGATTTTCAGAAGTTTTTTGATAGAAAAGCTAATTTGAAAACCAACAGATATTAATATTAGCGAATAATCCAATAGTTACTACGTCAAAGATTATGGTTGTCACAGTTGACCATGGATAGTTCCGATTCTCATCTTTTCCGAAAATGTGGCATTACCGAATTAGACATTCAATCGTACTTGCAATTAGCAACACAACGGGTAGATTTTGTGGATCAGGATCTGCATACCTTTCCTGAACAACTGAAGTCCCCCGGTTCAGGTTCGCGCTCTTGGTCTTAAGTTTTGTATATAGTGTTTTGCGGAAATTTGTTTGTCTTTTTGTCGTAATTTTTTTGCCATGACATAGTCGGTTTTTCTTTGACTTACGATTTTGATTGTCCCTTTGGTGTCTTTTTTCCCTTATTATGAACGTTTTCTGTGTATTTATTACGTCATGAAAATTGGATATAAATGTTTGATATAGGGTTTCTAACAATAAACTCTATTAGATTCACATTTGTTATCAAGGATGTGAGAAACCAAGTAAAAACAACATGTATTCGCATCAGAATAAAAAAAAAATGCCATACCCAACTATATCAGTCCTATTCAGGACCGATAACTCTGTCGATAAATATTGTCGGGTATACAATGTTGTTGAAATCAGAGCATCTGTTGAAATGTATACAATAACAAATTTTTTTACACAAGTTTAACTTTATATCGATTTATTGAATGCCTGGATTTTGCTTAAAATATTGAATTAAAAAAATAAATAATAAAATCATATTCAATGAAATCTCGTTTAATTTTTTACGAAATAATACAAAATCCATTTAAATTAAAATTTGAATCAATATATTTCTTTAAAATAATTATAGAAACATAAATATTAGTTTGATTATCTTTTAAAGCAAAAATTATTTTTTTAAAGATTTTTTTTTATAATATTCATATTTTCTTAAAGTTTATTATGATACATACTTCTTCTGGTTTGACACGGGGAAGAGAAGATATTTATTTGTACAGTTATGAAAACTTTTGTATATCACAAAATTTAAACTCTGGTAATACATGTATACACAGGATGTTTAATGTCACCTGGTTGCTTTTGGTTTGCACGTCTACCTGACAATATATTGTTATGTAACATTACATCCAAAGTCAGAGTTCACCTGTTCGTCAAGTGATGGGATTTTGAAGGTATGGAATATTCATCTATAATAATTGTTGGGATTTTTTTCTCTCTTGGGACGTAAATATTTTTTTGTTCTAAAAGGAATGTATAAATATATTTCTAAAGAAAGATAAATTATACAGAAAACAGGAAAAAAACCTTTTAAAAAAAGAAGAGAGAAAATTTTATTATAAATTTTATTGTTAACTATCCTGGATATCTGTCAAAATAAAATGTTCCCATGTCACACTTAAAATAATATTTTTTTAATCAATAAATTTTGAAATCAATCATATCGAAATATCACCAAAGAAAATAACAGAAACATCAGAGATTCTACATGAAAATTAAATTAAATCAAGGAAAGTCTTACTATACAAATCCTCGATTTGATGCAACATTTCCATATACATCATCCGCCATTTTGAAAAATCCCGAAATATTCACTTTTTTAAATCGATTTTTGACCGAAATTGCCCAGAAATTAAACTGTTTTAAATAGTATTTTTCGCCAGATATATGTTTGAATATACTTAATCGATTTGCAAAGTTTTATTTTTATTAACGGAATTTCTTTATTTGTTATACAAGTAGACATGGGTATCGGTACATTTAGCATTGAGTCAACGGAGAAATAACGAGAAAAAGTACATGTTTTTACGATTCTCCAGTGACAGAATTTAATCAAAAATTAAACTGTTAAGACCAACATTGTTTGATAGAAATATGTTTGAATATCAAGGATTGATTTGCAAAAGTTAGAAAACGGGTCAGGTTCATGAGAAAACTAAACTTTATTGAAGCACCTATGCATTTTATATGGGGCAATATAATACAAAATGGCGGCTAGTATACGTCACAAAAGTCACGTGATGTCTGACTTAGTTGGATATGCTTATCAAAATCATCAATTTTGTCTATGGTCAATTTAGCCCATGAGAGTTATAACATCAATAAATAAAGTGCAATTAACTAATATATAAACTGATCCTGAACAAAATAAATGAGTCTTTAAAGCATGTCATTACTACTTTGTCGGTTCTTGACCAGTTAAATGAAGAATTAAGTTTTCAACTCCCTCATTCAAATTTTGCTATTTTATTTTAGGTCCATGAAGATCCTCCCCTTCTAGCGTATGTATCATTCATTGCTTACAAATATTTAGATTTCAGCGTATTCAATTAAGTTTAACCCAGAAAAGCGATTCTTCGAGGCACCAAATGTATCAGGACCAGTTTTCATCTGTCACTGGCATCTTTTCATTGATTGACCGATTGATTGCGTTTTACACAACTTTAAGGACTATATACTTCATCATAGTGGAAAGTTGTTATTGGTGGAGAAAGCTGGACTACACAGAAAGAACTAATGACCTTTGGTAGAAAAATTTGTAATGCTGGTCATTTTAGATCAGTGTTGAACGGAACTTGAACTCACAACATTAGTGTTGACACGCTAGTAATTGCTTTAGATCAACTACTTAGAACATTCGGCCATTCACGTCTCGACATCTTTTGAACCAATTGTTACAATATTTAAAAAGCGCGCAATAAATGAATGATTTCTACGTTTTTGAAATATTGCTGAAATTGTGCAAAATGTATAATAAATGATGTGTTGACATTTTTAAAACAATTGTTGCAAATACAAAATAGCAAAAAAATTACGAAATGTTTTTTTTTTCAGGAGTGAATTTTATACTTTTTCAATCAGGTTTTGATATTTCATTTTAGACTTAATTGTCATTACTTGAAACTGATGTCAAAATGTATCAAAGTTAAATCTCTCATACAATGCTGGTACCGGTATTATATAATGTTTATATACATTCATGTATCCCAAACAGGAATCTATATTACAAGATAGTTTAACCTTTAGTCTAGTTTCTACGTGATTTCCAAGTTCATAACCCAGGCTAGAGATAAGAGAAAGCAGAGGACAACGAGGGATAAGTGTAAGGAAAATGACAAAACTTATATGTTATTGATGATATAAAAACAAATCCGGTATAGATGTGAAACAACTGAAAATAAAAAGCCAAATGAATTAAATAAGGACAGCAAGATTTGACAGATGATAGGAAACATAAACAATATAAAAACTCAAACAAACTGTGCCCCCATACGATACGGTATATATTTCCATTTAAATAGATTGGGCATTGGTGATAAGCAGTTGTCAAATTCTTATTCATCATGAAACTCCTGGCTTTATTTGCTGCGGTAATTGGAATAACATTCGGTAGGTGTTTTTTAAATAGTGATTTAAGTTAGTTTTCATATCGTGATACGATGCCCATATATATATACACACATTCTAACGTCTGTATATATATAAATCAAACAAATACATTTGTAGTTAACCATTCATTGCTACCAAACATTTCGATTATTTCAAGTAAGTGATTCAAAGTTACACGATGTTTTTGTTTTAACTGTATACTGCACATTAATTGCGAAAAGATGTGACGTCACAAATCGTATTAATACAAGGATATAGCGATCTAACAAAAAGGGGAATATAACGCAAGTCAATGTTACTTGAGGGAGTTCCATTCAAGCTAATAACATATTATGTTACCTGGCGATTGTTATTATGTTAGTGTATGCTATGATTTTTACCAGCAGCTGTGTATTCCTGATATCCAACATCCTTTAATTCCTTGAAAATGTTATATTATAAAAACATTAAACGGTGTGGTTATTTTTCTCTGTACATTATATGAATAATAAATGGTCCTTTAGAGCAGTTGCGGCTTCTTTTATAAACATTTTCTTCACCTGTTTAACAACTATCAAATGCAACTATTTTAATCACACGTGACATCAGCTTTATAAGTTGTTTTTTTTTTGTACCAAACTAACACTTAGGTTTACCTTATATGTAGGGTATTGGAAGTATATTAGCAAATTTTCATTTTTTGTTAATTACAAGGCTTAGCATGGTATTCTTAATTAGATTATCTTCAAATAAAAGAAATCAAATAGGATTTGTTTTCTCCGGACAATATAATAGCGTTGCATTACTGTTCGGGCACAATGGATCTTAAGCATTTGTTAATCAGTTACCGAGAAATACCTTTGGATATGACAAGCAATATTTATATACAATGTATTTACAGAGATGATTTAGCGGCCATATCTATTGTCATTTGTCTAAAGTAGCTATATCATATATATTATATGGACATGTTTAGCAATATTAAGCATCCAAGTCACAAAGTATAAAAAGTTAACAATTATAGGTCAACACGGAGCCTTGGCTCACACCCAACAGCAAGCTATAAAGGGCCCCAAAATGACTACTGTAAAACAATTCAAACAAGAAAATCAACGGTCTAATTTATATAAAAAACGAGAAACGAGATTCACCTATGAACCACACCAACAAAGGACAACCACTGAACAACAGGCTGCATTGAATCAATGCAGTGCCTTTTTTCCTGATCGTCAAATATTCAACTGTCCAAGTCTCATGAAATCAACGTTAGTTTATTTATGGTTGATAATATTGTTATCATGACCAGTCATGGTGAGTTAACTATGAGGGTTCGGTAAATACCGTTAAAATGAGCAGAGATTGTTTTCCTATGTAAATTGTTTACTTTTTACAAATTGTGACTTGGTTGGAGAGTTGTCTCATTGGCACTCATACCACATCTTCTTATTTCTATATATCAACAACATACTGAATTATTTAAAAAGCTACCGAACCGTACTGAAAATAACAGCAAGCGAATTTACTAATTATTTAAAATAAAGTTCAGCATGACATACAATTTGTAAAAAGTAAACAATTATAGGTCAAAGTACGGCCTTCAACACGGAGCCTTGGCTCACACCGAACAACAAGCTATAAAGGGCCCCCAAAATGACTAGTGTAATGTACAGGTAAAAAGCAACTACTGAACAAGCTGAACATAGACTGAACAAGTATTTTCTGACTGTAAACAAAATTTCAAAACATTACTAAATGAACCGCAGTGGATAAGTATGAAACTGGACGGAAAGACTGAAAAAGACTTAATATTTTATTCTCCATTGTTTTACAAATGTAAGAGCTTGTCAGAACAAAAATGACCGTTTCAGATCAAAATTAGTTTACTAGTGATGTCTCCTCTGATGAGTTAGAAAAACAAATGTAAGACACATACACATCGTATCAGTTAACCAATTCGTGATATTGACCATAGCATTTGTGTAGTGTGGATTTCAATGGTTTTTCCACAAACCCCTGTTAAAACAAGCACATCCTTATAAATGTGAACGTGGAGGCGCGTAACTTATAAATTGAGATTTTAAACGCCATGCAATGCGACAGACGGTATGTTATAACTGATAATGGGAGATTGGCAAGTGGGGAGTTGAAATTGTCACGTTTGTAATAGATCCTAGTCTGTCAATTTCAACAATAATATTCAGATAAGGTGAACAAGTGTGTTGCCTAAACAGCAAACGTTGCATTTATATTGTTGGTGTGCTCTTTATAATTCATTAGTGTATCATGTGTCCCAGTCTGGCTATTGAAATTGTAATTTCTATGCAAGCGTTCTTTATAAGTTTTTGTTTTTGTTTTGAGTATACTTGCATATGACTTACCTGCCCACCTTTAGTGTATGTCAATTTATATTCCAAAAACTAGGTATAAAGTTCAAAGTACATGTTAATAATAAACTACAACGTGACAATTGTACATGACTTATTTATGTGTGCTTATCAATGACAATGTAGGTCACTCAAATAAATATTTTATACTTAAAAATAAAATTGGTTTCTGTTCTGTGCTTAATAAAGGCAACAGTAGTATACCGGTTTTCAAAACAAAAGTTACATTCTTCTTTGTACAGCTTTTGCTTTGTTCTGTCAATTACCCAATTTTAAGTAGCGAGGATAAATCACTAAAAAAAACCAGCTTCTCCTTGTCTTTAGATTATGGTCTTAATAGCACATTTTTCCCTGGTCTACTTCAAATCAAATCTTAAGTCTTGAACATTTCGAGCTTCAAAGATGATTAAAAAATACACATATGTTTGAATCATCTTGCTGTGTTTTATATATCTGTTTGCTTCATTACTCACTCGTATTTCTTTAATTTTAAGAATGAATGTCCTCCATGGAGAAAAATTACACATCCAGCATTTTCTCTTTCAATTCTATAAGAATCAAATGTGTTATCGCCCTTTTCATGCAGGTAACCGTGTAACCTATGACGCCAATTTTCTGTTTTTAGCCAAGTATTTGTAGTGTTATTATGAAATATGTAAAGAAAGCCCTGGAATTGACTAGCTTTATACGAAGTAGGACTATGTCTATTAAAGTCACGTTACCGCAAACTATAAATATTAGTTCAAATGATTATAAAATGATATTATCATTACCTATATGTGTCAAATTACAGATGCTGAAATCGTCCAAATTTAGAATGGTAAGGGAGGAAAGTTTTAAAAATATGTGTTTAAAAAATTGAGAACGATTTGACAACCATTTTTTACAAATATGTTCATTTGTACTAATACAAAGTCCAATAGTATTAACGAGTTAAACTGATTTTTATTACAAAGTAGGTTGTTAATGACTTTTTTATTGATTCTAACCCCTCTTTTGTGTTCCATTGCCTGGTCGTGACTGCATCCACGATCAAGTCAACACTTTATAAGGAGAGCTTGTTAGACTATAGTACTACATACTTGAAATATGAAGGCAGTCGTACTTATATGTTTAATTGGCATTGTGTTTGGTAAAACACACATATTTCTATTATATTTCGTTTGTTTTTGGTAGCATGAGACCCTATATTCTGTTGACGCAATCGCATCTTGTTATCTTGATTTGCATCTTCTAAGTCGATGTAGGAGATTTGAAATTAATTAAACTACTGTGTTCTTAATTTCTGTATTAAGCAAGATAAATGTGCATGAATATTTTACTCATTATTATCTGAAATTTCGTGCATTTTTCATAATTCAAAAATCCTAAACATAGAACTGGTATTATGAAAAAAAGATACATATCAGCTATGTCAGCATTTACGCTTTGCGAGAGTTTACAGGAACTAGAAATTTTAAGAGTTGTGTTAATCTTCTAAGATAATAATTTCTTAAAACATAGGTGCACCGAGTGGTAAAAATACAGGATGTGGAAAACAAACAACCGCACCTCATAAATCTACATATATTGTTGGAGGCAAAGAGTCCATTCCGCACAGTTGGCCATGGCAGGTATGTTTTTATTTTAGATTTTTGGCATTATAGGTCATCTGTTTAACCGAGTTAATCAAAGAAGTTGAAGTTCTCAACGTGTCATTTTTTTATGAAAAAATATTTCTTCTTTTGTTAGGTTATTTTTGGTTTTGAAATTCAGCTTTACAAATTTTAATAAAATATTTTAATGATATGCATGCTCTCTTTCGCGCCTTTAGAAAAAACACAGTAGCCGAAAAAACATATTTGAGTCTCTAAGGAATTATAAAATAAAGCATACAAAAGACTCTCATGACTGTTATACCTATTTATCAAGATTTCGTTTACTACATTACATGATAAGTAAATCTTTGACGCATATGGGTCACATTTCCGAATCGGAAATGCTAAATTTGTAATTTGTCCATAAAAAAGCACCGGGAAGGCGAAATATGTAATCAGGATTATGTCTACAAAACTTAAATGTTTGCAATAGGGATGCAAAATTGGAAATCTAGATTTTGTTAGTCTTGTATGTTTTTTTTTAATTTTGGTTCATTTCTATGTTTCTATGGTGGCCTTCGGCTGTTGTCTGCTCTATGGTCGGGTCGTTGTCTCTTTGACACATTCCCCATTTCCATTCTCAATTTTATTCGAAATTTAGTGTGACGTCTATTTTCGCTGAATTAGTATACAATATTTATTAGGGGCTAGCTACAGCCCGCCTCCGGGTGCGGGATTTTTCTCGCTGTTTTGAAGACCTATTGTCAATGTGTTTCATGTGTTTGTAGCATCTCTTCACGAGTTGGTTGACCGTTATGGAATGTCCGTTTCACATATGACAACGGATATGTTCCAGTTGTCCCCTTTTCATCGAATGTGACCTACCGAGTTAGACTTATCATCGGGTTTGTACTAACATGAGCAACACGACGGGTGCCACATGTGGAGCAGGATCTGCTTACCCTTCCGGAGCACCTGAAATCACCCTCATTTTTTGTTGGGGTTCGTGCTGCTCAGTCTTTAGTTTTTCTATTTTGTGCTTTGTGTACTATTGTTTGTCTGTTTGTGTTTTTCTTTTTTTAGCCATGGCATTGTCAGTTTGTTTTCGACTTGTGAGTTTGAATGTCCCTTTGGTATCTTTCGCCTGTTTCTTACTTATAAGATATTGTTTAATCTTTTGTCCGTGTCCATGTATTATTATGCCTTGTAATATAAGGGTAACCAAACGTGGTTTTATGAATTTAAACTTTGGATAAAAGGATATGATATAAGACTAAATATGCAATTTTTAATTTTATTTCGTAATTAACCCTATTAGGGAAAATAAATGAATTTAACGTTTTATACAGATTCTTTTGATGCATGTGTCAAAGATAAATGAGATACGTTAGTTCATATCTAAAATACAATGGAAGATGAAACAGTATTGAACATAGATTTACTATGTTTTGTCATAAATGTATACCTTAATATTTAACATCTGCAAATATTGCATATTATGTAGGTTTTGATGAGGTACAGAACAAGTACCCTGACATGTGGAGGTTCCTTAATCAGAAATAACGCTGGAGATCTTGTTGTTATAACAGCTGCCCACTGTGTTGATGGGTACGTTTTATTTTTTGTTTATTATCGATTTACAGTTATACAATTTTACATAGAGATGGGCATTATTGCTTCTAATACACTTTTGTAAATGATGATGAACTTCTGATCTAAACAACATTTTATTGAATTTTATAAGAATTGATCAAATACAAGTTTTGTTACGAAGATTTGCGTGTAAAGTCTGCCTTTCGATCAGAAAATTAATATCAAACCATTCGGAATCAAACCATTCGGACTTTATTCAGTTTGTTTGTAATTCGGCTAAATATACACTTCAATAAACTCTTTCAGAATAACCTATATTACTGATGAAGGTAAATCCAGAAAAGCGCCTCGGATGCATGTTTTCATTTCTTACAGCACCGAGTCGATACCTCTGCTGGTTGACTATCAGTCCCCGAGGGTATCATCAGCTCAGTAGTCAGTACTTCGGTACTCGCATGATTTATAACAAACTTTATAAAATTGCCCGTTTATAAATATTGAAATTATAAAAAACTAAGGTTTCAACTCCCTCAGGCAAAATTGGCTTTAGATGGATTTGGCTATTTTTTAAGTCATTTTTGGTTTATAGCTCTTCAACATTTTCAGTCCTTATACATCCTTGGCTTTCAAATATTTGGCTTTGAGCGTTCCTGATGAAGGTAAATCCAGAAAAGCGCTTCGGACGCATGAAATTTATAACGTGTTGTTTTCATTTTTTACTATAATGAAGTTTTTGCTACAAGTTATAACTGTTGTCTGTACATGTAGCAAATATTTTATTTATTGTTGTACAGTCCTGCATTATACGTCAAAGCTCCCAACTAAATTACCAGTCACAATTTAATTATACACTAAGAACACTCTTCAAAAGTACTCTAGTCTGGAGATATACACATAATAACCAATCAATCAACCAGTGAATCAGGATTGCTCATATTGCGATTTATTTTCAGAAAAAGGATGATTTGATACGACTGTCATACAAGTGAGAGGTTTAGCTAGCTATAAAACCAGGTTCAATCCACCATTTTCTACATAAGAAAATGCCTGTACCAAGTCAGGAATATGACAGTTGTTATCCATGCGTTTGATGTTTTTGAGCTTTTAATTTGCCATTTGATTAAGGACTTTCCGATTTGAATTTTCCTCGGAGTTCAGTATTTTTGTGATTTTCCTTTTTTCTTAAAATTTCAATATTTTTAAAGGAGAATATTACGAAGATATCAACCCCAATCACCAATAAATCCCTTGGCACGATACACCATTATTGCAAATTGAACAATATAGCATTCCAATTTGCACGATATATATATGATACAGTTCTCCCACTTTAGCATGCACCATTCCTCATTATAACTTTTATACATTTTATTGAAAGTTTACACCATTGAAGGGCTGTAACAAGTAAATAACATTTGTCAATCAATTTTCGACAGTTGATTACAATCGAACTGGGAATAATATACTATTGTTTTCTGTTTGTTGCTAGTCAGATATTGAAACTTCAATGATATGATTAGATTAAAGACACGTCATCCTCCCCCTCATTTTTAGACTTATACTTCGAATTTGACATAAGCGGCCATCATCTCAGTACCAAAATCTGACAAACGACACGATTTTAATTTTGAAACTATCAATTGCCCCCACTTTAGTAGCAATATACCAATTGCACCTGCATATGAGATATACATTTCCCAACTCATTCTGTATTCAAGTGCTTGGAGCTACTACTCAGACTTTATAAAACGTCACCAGTGTCTGAGCAGAAGGTTGAAAAACCATGGTTAATATGCCAAAGAAAGTCTCGTCCTTTTTCTAAAAAAGTTCATCGGAAGATACCAAGACTTTGTTGATAAATATTCCGTATCAACTTCACAAATGAAACATGATGGTCATGAAATATAGATTTTAGGTACTGACGTTGTTTATCATCTTGATAACGTGTTATAGTGTTCTTTTTTTTTGTCTTTGTAAATTATAACCTTTACTGTTTAGTCCATTTTTATTTATATCATTTTGGCTTGGCTCTTTACTTATACATCCTGCCATTGTGTTATTGTGCTCTGGTCATTTATTGTATTCTTGTTTTTCATTTTTGCCTATGTGCTTTGTCTATATGCCATTTTGTTTTTCGTTGTTGACATATTTGTTTGCTTTTATAGTGATTAAGATTATGACACAATGTTGACTGCTGTACCCCTATTTTTGACATTTTTACCTATTATGTCTGTTTGTTTTGTTCACACATTGTTGTCAATATAATGGAACTTTATGCGCCAGTCATACAAGTGAGAGATTTAGTTATCTATACAACCAGGTTTAATCCACCATTTCTACATAAGGAAATGCCTGTACCAATACAGGAATATGACAGTTGTTTTCCAATCGTTTGATGTGTTTAAGCTTTTGATTTTGCCATTTGATAAGGAACTTTCCGTTTTGAATTTTGCTTGGAGTTCGGTATTTTTGTTATTTAATTTGTACTATACTCTTATCTCTTAACAGAACAGAAAACAGACCAGGAGATTGGACCATCGACGTTGGAGTACATTCAAGATCTGGTAATGAGGCAAACCAGAGAGCGTATACTGTTGCATCAATCACCACTCACAATCAATATAATACAAGAACCTTTGACAATGATATTGCACTCATGAAACTTGTATCAACAGTCACAGAGAACGCTGATGTCAGTCCAATATGTGTGACGTCACTACCAACCAGTGACTTTTTCAATCAAGAGTGTGTCGTAACAGGATGGGGAACTACCTCTGAAGGTAAATGAAAATTAGTTATTAATAGTAAAGAATTAACATTTGTACAAACGATGTAAAACAAATCATATTTTTGGTAAGTTTTAATATATAAACTTTAAAAAGATGTGTGGAAAATGATTGTACTAATCTACTAAAACGTACCGATTTGCCAAACGATAGACATCAAGATATTACAGGTATAACCTTTAACCATCTACCCGTACCGAATTCTTAAAGTATACTCTGAATACCTGACAGCCTAACATATCAGTGGTTGATTTCAGCTATGTAATTATTTAATTAGTTTGTCCTTTAGGGAATTTGGTGTTATGGTAGTGTTTTTGGCTTCATATATAGATATTTGTTTATTGTTGAAAAGAGTAGGCTTATTGAACTTCATATGTTTTTATTGTTTTATCGAATGGTAGCTATCATAGTGATGTATAATACATGGTCTGATATTACAATTATCTCCCCGTCTAAAGCCAGTCAATGAAAGAGTTGAACTAACTATCTTTAGTATACGGGTTGGTGAACATTGATCTCAATGGAAAAGTGTATTTTTTCATCTAAGGTTTATTGAAGTAAATTTTCAATATACTCTAAACACAACTAGTACAATGAATGCGGGGTGGACGAGAACAATTTTGGAACTTATTTTGTGTATTCATTCCCATCCGAGATCACTGCAGAAGTTGCATATTTAATAAAACTGTACATCTCATATGAGAGGATTGTTGGAATTTATCTTGTTTTTCCAGGCTTTGAACCATGGCAATTTTCAAGAACAACTTTGATGACCAGGCATGTTTTGTCGTTATGTATCACATACAAGTATCAAGGAATGTTTGAGGAAGTTTTGTCTTTTCCGTATTCAAATAGTCCTATAGTTGTTCATTCAATCCTTAATATTTTATCTGTAAATGGTACTAGTAATAATAAAAAAATTTCAAACATGAAAATTATACAGTCATCTGCTAATTTGAAATAATTATTTCAAATTTTAGGATTATATTTTCATGTCATCAAGAGATAACTTATTTGTTGCCCTGTATTTTGTTATAGTTTGTCATTGTGAACATGCCATTACCGAAGTATTCGAGCGTCACTGATGAGTATGTTGTAGACGAAACGCGCGTCTGGCGCAAATACAAAATTTCAATCCTGGTATCTATGATGAGTTTATTGTTAAACTACAAGAAGTAAAGTCGATAGCCTTTGTAGATATTTGTACATCTATGAGAGTTAACATGTGGGTTTTACAGTTATTAGACTATACTTATCTACAGTGGACTATAGAGTCCTTCTAAATAATCAAGATAGTAACGGACATAAGCGCGGACATATTTTTGTAAACTTTTATCAGCTACAGTTGGCTTATTGACTTTGAGATAACTTCAAGTAGATCTCTTACGTGTAGAACTTCATTTTCTCATTTTCGGGCATTATGATTATCAAATACGGTAGATGTTTCTCTAATCATTGTTAGGACGATACGTTTAATCAATATATACTTTTGGTTTATACTTTTGGCGTAGTTAGGTATTTATACATCCCACCATTGTATTATTGTGCTATGGTCATTTTTGTATTCTTGTCTTTCATTTCTGATTATGTACTCTGTCAATAGAGTACATATGTTATTTTGTTTTTCTTTATTTAAATTGTAGTTTGTTTTTTATAGTGATTAAAATTATAACACAATGTTGACTGCTGTACTCCAATTTTTGATTTTTTTTACTTATTATGTCTATATAATATACAAATAAGTGGATGTGGTATGATTGCCAATGAGACAACTGTCCATGTTTGTTTTCCTCACACATTCTTGTCAATATAATAGAATGCTATATGACTGTCATACATAGCTAATTATAAAACCAGATTTTATCTACCGTTTTCTACATAAGGAAATGCCCGTACAAAGTCAGGAAAATGACATTTGTTTTCTATTCGTTTGATGTATTTGAGCTTTTGATTTTGCCATTTGATAAGGGACTTTCCGTTTTGATTTATCCTTGGAATGCGGTATTTTTGATATTGTACTCTTCAGTGCGCTAATTTTTTTTACGTCTTCAAGCATGGTCGCCTTTGCTCGTTTCGTCGAAATAGCAAATTTAACAAAATCAATAAAAAATGGAGACAAAATTGAAATAAAAACCAAATAAGAATTGATACAATGCGAACCACACGTCGATTATAACAAATAAATAATTGAGCATAAAGGGAAAGTGTAAAACGGCGAAGTGTTAGAGAAAACTATTCATACGCGAAATTGTTGAAATTAGAAAAAATGCAGAGCACAAACAAACACATATTGATTGTCAATAAAGCATTTATTAAATTTCAATAACTATTATAAATAAAGGATAATACTTTACCATTTAGTGTGACTTAATTATTCATATCTACAATATATAACTACTTTTTCAAATAATAAAATTTCGCAATTTTCTTAATACTAAATGTTTGCCATAAGTTAACAAGCAATACGTGAACGTGATGTTGCTAAATTGTGTGGACAAATATAATTCTTTTTTATTGTTTTTTTTTTCAACAAACTTGGAAGCATATGACAAAATCAAGCGATTTGTCTTGCCGCCAAAAATAAAAAGAAACAAAAAACACTCATTATCTGTATGAATTGAACTCCTACTGTAAATATGTTCAGTTAATATATTTCCAAAGAAAAGCTAGGGCGTTTACAAAATATTACAATGTATTAGAGAAAAATTAAATATACGATCAACGAAAATTCAATAGTTGAGTTTTTTTCTTCAGAAAATGCCTGTACCAAGTCGAGAATATGACAGTTGTTTTCCATTCGTTCCGTTGGTTGATTAAGTCTCACTTTAGATTTTGTCAGATTTTATGGACTTCCCTTTTTTAATTTACCCTATAAGAGTTATTTTTGTTAATTTATTTTTAACTTCATTTTATTTATACTACTTTTATTAGGTGGTTCAACATCTGATAAACTTCAAGAAGTGTACAAACCAGTGCTGTCAGATGCAGCTTGTACAGGTTACTTGAGTAATGCTTATAATGCAAACACAATGTTATGTGCCGGTCTTGATGTCGGTGGAAAAGATGCTTGTCAGGTAAATACACTTTCTGCGTTTGCAGTATTATGTTCAGTGGTAGTGCTTACGAGGTAATTTTTATTATGCAATTTACGACTAAAGAGACAGATTTATTGTTGATTTATGATAAAAAAAATATTCACTCGGTTCTTACAATTACATTTGCGAAAGCAAATATACAGATCTAACATTGTTGGGCTGATGTTTAGACGAGTTGTATGTACAGAATGTACACAGCCATGTATCACCATCACTGCTGGTGATCCGATGGATATATCTGTTGTAGAGTTGTCACTGGTTCAGACGTACTTATATATATATAATTTGTTTTACATGCACACGTATATAAAATGTCTGAATAATAGCCAAGGATAAATCTTACGGGGCGATGGATCATATAATAATGATACAGTACACTACAAAATATAATATATAACAAGCAATTCTAAAAGGGTACAACATCACCAAAAAAAAGTAAAATCATGAACAGATGTTAAATATTTCGGATAACTAATATCCTTCATCAGCATTATGTCAAATGATTCTTATCTGGACATGTGGTAGTCAAACTGAACTAATAATCTTGAGCATTATACAAATTATCACGAATTTATACGCTGATAAGTTTTTCAATATTGATGTTTGAGAGGAGGAATAAATTCCTTAAAGCTGTAAGAGTCCTGTACTGAAGCCTGAGTTACAGGAAACAAGTGATGGTAGGGACTCATTCTATGTTTTTTTTTATATATGTGTGTGTGAATAAAAGGAGATATCGTTCAAATTGATTTATAATTCTGTTTTGTACAGGGAGACTCTGGTGGACCATATGCTTGTTTGAACTCTCAGGGAGAGTGGGATCTTATAGGTATGCTTTATTTTAAAAATATAACAGTATATGGACGCTTAAGAGAACACAATTTGAACGAAAAGTGACAAAAGCATGAGCTAGATAGCATATCCTAATCGTAAATCCAAAAGAGATTAAAAGAGAAAATGTTTTGATTTTCCTTAAAGCAAAACATTCTTTACCTGCCACGTCCGGACTATTTTTGTTAGATATTTTTTTCTGTAATGTATCGATCTGATGACTTAAGCTCTTTTCAACTGATTTTAATAGTTTGTTCTTATGTTGTACTGTTACACTACTATCCCATGTTAAGAGCATAGTTGAGCGCACACAAACATGTTTAACCCGCCACATTCTTTATGTGTCTGGCCCAAGTCAGGAGACTGTAGTTCAGTGGTTGTCGTTGGTTCACGTATGTCATATTTGTTTTTCGTAAATTGTTTTGTTATGAATTAGGCCGTTAGTTTTCTCAATTGAATTCTTTCATATTTTTCATGTCGGGGCCTTTTATATCCGACTCTACGGTATGAATTTTTTTTCATTGTTGAAGGCCGTATGGTTGCCTATAATTGCTAACATCCACTTCATTTAAATTTTGGTTGATAGTTGTTTCATTGGCAATCATACCACATCTCTTTATTTTTTATATTTATTTTGTACTTTTATACAATTATTAAGTGTTATACCGCCATATATGGATTGACAAAACTACTGTAGATGTTTAAAGCTTTCAAATACATAATGTTTTACACTGATATCCTGATGTGATAGTACATTTGGGATTAACTCTCGTAAATCTCCTTAGAAAACGCAAAAGTTATCGTTTTAATCTTTTCTCAAAAATGTTCGTTGCTTTCTCGGAATGATCTGCTAAATTTGGACCGAATTGTTCCGGTTACATAGTAAAAGAGTTATTGCCCTTTTCGTTTTCGTTGGGGTAACTCATAAATTGTAAGTCATAGAGACCTAGACACCTTTAATAAAAGCAAGAATTTAAAGCTAAGGTCAAAGCATGGTTTTTTCTTGTCGAATTACTCAGAAACCGTAAAAGGTATCGACATAAAGTTTTTGGCACATTAAAAGTTGCGACATGACTTTTTATATGAGTTTTCTTCTCTTTAATATTCAAAATAGGCTTTTTGGTAGGATAACTTCTTATCCATACTTGTTTTGGAACTGGGATCTGTTGATATGAGATCCATGACCTTTTACCTTGAAATTGAGGTCAAAGTTGAATTTATGTTTGACCTATGCTCCTACTGCATACAAGTACTTGATAAAACCTTAAGTCCTTTTGGTCTTCAGGCTGGACGACTTTTGAATAAAAAAGTTACAGTGTTTTTACCCGAAGTATTTTTTTTGCATTAATTCAATGTCAAAGTACATGTAAACCAAAATATGTGAAGAATCAACGTGATTCAACCTTTCATATGAACTGGAAGTGCCATTGTGTAATACCGGAAGTAGAAAACTAGATTTTGATTTTACAATGCTTGTTTGGAAGTAAAATTCTGAACATATTTACTGAGCAATTCTATACAGCCTTTACCGTTTCTTTTTAAAAACAAATTAGTCCTCTCTTTTAATTAAACGTTTATAAAATGTTGAATTATTCGGTTTTACTACCCCCAGACTAGCACGGCCTTATCTATTATAGTTGGCACAACATTATCTATTGACAAATACATCAATTATGAAATTTCTAATTTCAGCAACGAACATCTGTAAATCTTAAGTCTTGAGACATATTTATTTATTATAGGCATTGTCAGCTGGGGATATGGATGCGCTCGACCAAGCTTACCTGGTGTGTACGCAGATGTACATAAATATTTGAATTGGATTGGCAACAACGCTTAGAAATTCTACGAAATTCTAAATAAATATATATGAAACAAAATATATAAAATTTGTGATCTTTCAAGTGAGAGGTTTAGCTAGCTATAAAACCAGGTTTAATCCAACATTTTCTACACAAGAAAATGCCTGTATCAAGTCAGGAATATGACAGTTTTTGTCCATTCGTTTGATGTGTTTGAGCTTTTGATTTTGCCATTTGGTTAGGGACTTTCCGTTTTGAATTTACCTCGGAGTTCAGTATTTTTGTGATTTTACTTTTTACCATTGAATTATGATATTGACTTCCCAATGAAAATCACCATAAATAAATAAATAAATAAATAAATAATCTTGATTTCAAGAGGATAATTCCATTAGTTAAAACTAATCTTCCTGAGAGTCCTCAAAATAATAATAACATATTTATAAGTACATACAATATTATAATGATATATTATACACAATATACAATTGTATCTAGATAATAATGAAAAAGCATATTAATTTGCACAATTGATGAAAAAATTGTAACATTTTGTTTTAAAAGATACAAGTGTATTACTCATTTTTATTTCATTTGGTAAACTGTTCCATATTTGAGAACCTGAATATGTAAATGTTTTCTTTAAAAAGTTTGTTTTTGGTAACGGAAGATTTAATAGTTTTTCATCAGCCGAACGTAAATTATAATTCTGATTACCAATAAAATGAAAGTTTTCTTGTAAATAGTTAGGAACCATATCATTTAATGATTCAAATACAAGTATTGCCTTTTGATATTGAATGCGTTTTTCCACATTTAACCAGTTTAAACTAGTAAACAACAAACTGGATGATGTCATTATGTCAGCTTCTACTATAACCCTAGCAGATTTCTTTAATAACTTATTAAGTTTATTTATTCCACTTTCATAGCAACTTCCCCATATATTGCAACAATAATCAAACAATGGCAGAATATAAGCATTAAAATAAATAATACGTATATGCATAGGTAAATATTTTCTTATCTTTTGTAATAAATTGATTCTATTTGATATTGTACATGACATTTTATCTATTCGCTCATTCCAATTTAGGTTTTTGTCGATATATAAACCGAGAAGTTTTTCACAATCTACATTCTCTATTTGCTCATCTGAAATTTTGATATCTAAACTGTTCCCAGTTGAATAAAGCCTCTGTTTTGAACCAATAATCATTGATTTACACTTTTTGGCATTTAGTTTCATACAATTTTGCGAACACCAGTTTTCAATTACATGAATATCATTTTGAAGGTTAGCAGTTAACTGAAGTACATTATTACCTTTACTATGTAATGTAGAATCATCTGCATATAAATCTATTAATGAATGTTTTATGTTCAGTGGTCAATCATTGATATATAAAATAAATAACAGAGGGCCAAGGATAGAGCCTTGTGGTACACCAGTTTTTATGCATTTAGTATTAGACATGACGTTATTGACCTTAACTTGTTGACTTCGTTCAAACAAGTATGACTTAAACCAGTCTAGTGTACAGTTTGAAACATTATAATATTCAAGCTTTTTTAATAAAATAATATGATTAACCAGATCAAAAGCTTTCTTTAAATCTAAAAATATAACTCCGTTTATTTCTCCATTATCTATATTTGCTAACCATTCATCTACTAATTTAGTAAGTGCAGTTGTGCACGAATGTTTAGGTCTGAAACCTGACTGTGTAGTATTAAGAAGGTCATTACTATTTAAATATATATACAAACTATCAGCTATATGTCGTTCTATGATTTTGGAGAGACAAGGCAATACTGCTATTGGTCTATAATTATCAGGATTACAAGCATCGCCACTTTTAAAAATTGGGCAAACTCTTGCAGTTTTAAAAATACTTGGAAATTTACCACATTTGATGCTTAGATTAAATAAATATGTTAAAGCTGGTGCAATGACATCGCTGCACATACTCAAAATATTTGGTCCAACATCATCTAAACCAGTTGCTTTAGACTTGTCAAGTTTTTTTAAATACATTTTTACATCTAAAATACTCATTTCTGGTATAATGAATTTTTCACTACCCCTTTGTAACTTTGATTTCACAAATTTGTTGAGTACATCTAAACTTGGACCTTCAGCATTATTACATAATTTGTTATCAACTATTCCTTCAGCAATATTTGTGAAATGCACATTAAATGTATTTGCTATATCAACATCATTTTGAATTACACTATTTTTATATTCCAAATGCGTGATATTATTATGTAATGTTTTTGGATTTAGACTTTTGACATACTTCCAGATAGTTTTACTATCTTTACAATTTGAGATAGTATTTTGGAAATAATTTTTCTTTGCCTGTTCTACTAAAAATGTGACCTTATTACGCCAAATTTTATAATTATATATATCCCCAATTCTATGAAAATAATCTCTTTGGTGTCTAGCGCTATTTATATCAGAAGTCCACCACTCTGGTTGTTGAGTATTTTTCACCCTTTTAATTTTCTTAGGAGCATGCTTGTCTAGGGTGCTCAGAAATAGATTATACCAATAATTAGCTGCTTCATCAACATCTCCAATCGATTCAATGAGATGAAAAGGAGTATTTGTTAAATTTTCAATAAATTTATTTTTATCAAATTGTTTGAATGATCTATATTCTATGGACAAATGCTCCATTTTTGATATTTTTGGGTTAAGTTTTCTTGTTACGCAAACAGGATAATGATCACTGACAGCATAACTAGGCACATTTACTTCTGTAATATGGTCTACATCGGTAGTATAAATATGGTCTATAGTAGTTACACATTTATCTGTTACTCTTGTGGGTTTATGTACAATTTGTTGTAAACCATACAAATTAATACAGTCCTTCCATTTTTGATTTCCGACAACTGTATGATCTATATGTGAATAGTTTATATTGAAATCTCCTAAAAGTATAATTTCTTTATTTTCTGCTGACGCTTTTTCTATTTCTTTTTCAACTGAATCAATCCAAGATTGCAATGAACTCTGTGGACGATAAAAATGCCTATTAAAATAGAGTTTGTGTTTGGAAAAATAAGTTCAATCCATAAAGATTCAATACTACCTATTTCTAAATCGATTCTTCTCTGGTAACATACACTACTTCGTATGTACGCAATCACACCTCCGCCATCATTAATAGCGTTTCTATCTTTTCTTTCTATTTTGTAACCTTCAATTTGTAATGTTTCGGTACCAATTTCATCATTTAAAAATGTTTCTACCATACCAAATATATCAAATAATTGTTCATATTTTAATAGGAATTTTATTTCTTCAATTTTGGGTTGTAAATGTTGAATATTTAAACAACCTAGTTTAAACCCTTTTTTAAGTAACCAACTTGCTTCATTATTTCTACTTCTATTTACAGAACTATGTGTTTTATTTTGACTCTTTCTATTTCTCTTTTGAGATTTTCCCCAATTAATATTATTAATGTTGTTTATATTACATGTACATTGTATACTACTACATTGATCACATAACAGATTTAAAATATTATATCTGTTTGAAAAATTAGAACAAGCTAAATGCTACCTCTGAATATAATCTGACTTACGAAGTCAAAAAATGGTGCTCTATCTACATTTTGTCTATTTAGCGCATTATTGTTTCCCCACGAGTCACGAGAGTTCATATTGAGATCATTCCTGTCCTTTACGTTTTTAGTGTTGACTCCTGAATGGTTGAAATTTCTTCTGCTTTCTGTTGTGTTCATGTTACTCCGTGATTGATATCTTGGTTTTATAGGGCTCCTTCTGAGGTTGTTTGTGTAATATTGGTGACCGGAACTTTGGAATCTATTTCTGTTTTGTTGGTTCAAATGATACTGTTGTGGTTTTCCCTTGAATACTTTAATTATTTTATTTACATTTGTCAACAGCTTTATTGTTCCATATCTATTTAGATGCATGCCATCTATAATGTAAAATGATTTAGCTATATGATCATCCTTGTAGACAAAAGATTCATAATTTGATATAAATTTGACATCATTATGATGACACATTTGTTTTAGGATTGTGTCATATTCAGTGATATCACATTGTATCCTTGGCAATATTCCAGACACAATTGCTCGACAGTTTTGACTTCTTACATAGTTAATAATTTCTTGGTAAATGTCCACAAATTGTTGTACATTCATTTTGCTGCTTGCATCATTGCCCCCGACATGAATTATCATTGTATTGTATGAACTCAGATCCATACTTCTTATGTCATCGTACAAATCTAGAACATTTGCTCCTCTGTGAACATGAACATCTATATACTCTTTTAATTTAGATGGGTTTATTCCTTTTAGAACTGAACTTCCTGCAATTAAAACTCTACTTCCTGATAAAGGCATTTTCAGTTGTGTGTCATACACAGGATTTTGTGGTTCTTTAATTAAATCAGCATTTATTGGCTGTTCTGTTTCAAAGATAAGCTGTTCTTGTTCATGTATAGGTTCTTGTAATAAATTTTCAAATGTTGTTTTTGGAATTGTTTGATCTTCATCTAACATTTGGGTACATTGGTTACTGAGATTTTCCACCTGCGTAAAGCTTTTTTGTAATTTAACTGTTTCCGCTTCGTAGAGTTTTATTTTATCACTTATGCTCTGTGTTTTTCCTTGTAACATGTTAACTTTTTTATCCAAATTTTTATTAACATTTTGAATTTCTACTTCAATATCCTGCATGTTATCCATTGACTGTTGATCATGTTGCATGCGCACCTTTGCCAAAGCTGTCATGCGATCATTTAAAATTTGCATACTACTCGCATTTGACAAATTGTTTGCTTGTATAGATATTTCTAATTCGTCAACTTTGTCTTTTAAATGTGTTACAACAGTAGTTAATTTGCTTAGAGTTGTAATGAAGTCTTGCATATTCAACTGTGGTAATTTGTCATCAATTTCATCTGAACATGTGCTTTTATCATTTGAATTAGTCGAATTTATATCTTTAATTTTTGCTTGTATATCATCTGGAGTATCTGTAGTTGTAGCTACTGACGCAGTTGACAGTTCCCGATCTGTATTCGACGATACATCA